GCAGGGCAAAGGGTCGCGCTGCAGGCACAAAGCCTGCTGAAGCACGTTGTGTTAACAAGCCCAGGTTACCATGGACAGGCTGCTGCAGAAAGGGGACATGGAGGAAGAAAATGGGAGATGAAGGTGAGGTGTTTGTGGAAGGGGGGTCTTGAGGAGAAGGCTGAGTTGGAGCAAAGGGATCTCAAAGAAACTGGGGTGATTAGAGCTAGAAGAGCCCCTGGGGTTGTTGCATCTGGCTCGTGGTGAGAAGAACCTTGGGGAAAGCCCCAGTGCCCCCAGGGGAGTCACAGGTTTAAATGTCCACCTTTGTGTTTCTCTTGGGAAGTGGCCATCTCTTGTCCTGGGGACAATCTGCGTGCAAGTAGCAAAGGAAGGAGCTGAGCTTGTAGCTGGGGAAAGATTTAATGACATGACTGAATGACTTGAAACTCACCTTGCCTGTGAAGCGAGGGAGGTGCTCTGGGGTCGAGGCATCTGCTGCCCATCTACAGCCAAGGCAGTGAGCCAGGTCGTTCCTCCTCCACAAGCACCACCCCCCTTCTCTGCCCAGTGCCCTGCCGAGGCTGAGGTCGCTCTGGGATCCTGCCAGAAGCAGGAGGCGACACCTGGCCCCGTGGGCAGAGCAGGAGGGGTTCCCTTTCTGTGCTGCTTTCCTGACGAGGGGCACAAAGCTGTGCCCAGCCTCAGGTGTGCTGTGCTGCGAGGTGTCCCCTTCCTCCCCCTCCAGGCGTCATGCCCCCCGATGAGTACCACCAGCAGGTTGACAACTCTGTCTACACCAACGCCGTGGCCCAGCGGAGGTAACACCCGTGCCGTGCTGAAGCACTGGCACAACTCATCTCTTCTCTGCCTAGACCTCTGGCAGGGGTGGGAGGCAGCAGGGCTCCCACGTGGGCTGCACCTTTCCTCTCCTCTCACACCTCTGCTGGGGCTGCTCTCCCTCTCCTGCCTTCACAGTCAGCAGAAGGAACTGGGTGGTCAAACACCGGTTCCTCTGGCCTGTTCCAGGTGTCCCCATGAGACTGGGTGGGATTTCACTTCACGGGAGGGTTTATCTCCCTGTGCTGTATGAGATGTCTGCACAGTTAGACAGCTGGAAGCATCTAAAGCTCGAGGAGCTGGAGGCCGGACTCCCACTCCAGCGATGAAAGCTGTTACTCCAGGCTTATGCTTTGATCCGTGTTCTTTCAGAGTAGCTGTTTCTTTGCAGTTATGGCTCAGTTAGTTCTTTCTGTTCCCTTTCTTCCCCTCCCCTCTCTGAGGGGGTCACAGGCAGCCGTGCCTGACAAAGCCTTGCTCCTTGCTCCTTTTCAGCTTGAATTTTGCCATCGATGTTGCTCGGGACTTGCTGATCCCTGTGCCAGAGGAGTGGGTGGACTGCGCCAGGAAAATCAAAGTGCCCTTTGATGCAGAGAAGAAATATCACCCAGAGTACGACGGCTACAGCCCAGGTGAGCAGGGGCAGCAGCACACCTTTGAGCTGGCCACCGCTCCCTCTTTGTGAGCCTGCAAGAAGTGGGGCTTTGGCTGGTTCAGAGGAACAGCAGCTGAGTGGTAGACCAAAGTCAAAATCTCTAGTGCTGCTCTCCAGGTGCAGCCTCTGGGTTGCCCGTGTGGATCCTGCCTTGTAGATGTTTTTTTCTGCCTCTTGGTGGATAGTTTCCCATTAGTGACATCATAACATTGGAAATTTGGGAACATGGAGAGCAGGAAGAGACATGTAGTCCTGGGCTGCAGATGACATGGTTGCTATGAACCCTCAGTCTCCAAAGTCAAGTGCCATGTGTTGCCCTCCCAGCACCCCCCGTCCCTCTGGAGGGGAAGGGGCTGGTTCCAGTGGTGATGTGTGCCCAGCTTAGAGCCCCTTTTCTCACAGTTAGGGACAGGGTCATCCGGGTGCATGGGCTCGTGGGAGCTGTTCCTCTGTGCCTGAAGTTCAGGTGACACCAGTCTGGGTGCCACCACGGTAAGGCTGTGCCAGTGTCCTGCCCCAGCACAGCTTCCAGCAAGCACAGGACAGACCATAAGCTGTGGTTCTGGTCTGCCCTTATGAAGTGCTGAGGTCTAAACCCCAAGCCCTAAATCAGGGTTGACATATGGAAGATGCCCACAACCAGGCAGGAGAGAACTTCCTCTTGGTTTTCTCTCCAGGCCTGAGCAACCTCGGGTGAAAACCAATTAGGAGATCACCACCAGGTGCCCTGCCCCTAGAGTTAATATAAAAGCTGGCTCTGCTGGTAGTGAATGGGGAGGTCTGCCCATGGGAGTGGGTGCACTAGGTGGGGTTTGCAGTTACTGGGAGGGCTCCCTGCCTGTCCACTGCAAGGAGAGCTCCCAGTGACAGTGGCATGAGATAAGACCTGGACAGAAAGAGGATTATGTGTGTAATGATGCTTTTCCTTGGCAACTGCTATATGATTTGAATTGGACTGCTGGCCTGGCTTATTCCTTCCCCCAATACCTGGTTTCTAACTCAGCTCACTCCTTTCTTTGCTGCATCACATACCACGAGTGAATGCATCGATTATTTATTCCCTCGGCTGTTACCCTCCCGGTACCTTTCCAATGTCCTTTGGAAGGGGATGGTAAAGCCTTGCCTGTGTGCATGCTGCTGATGGCCTTGTCCTTCCTGCTGGGACATGCAGGCAGCAAAGGACCTCAGCAAGGCAGCGAGGAGCTGCCCTCCCTGCAGGTCCCACCCCCTCCCCTGGGGCTGTGTTTGTTCTGCACTCAGGGCTCTGTGCGAGTCGGGTTCGTTCCCCGCACCAGCAAACAGACAACTGGTTTGCCAGTTGGTCCCAGCTGCAAACGTGGTCTGGCCAACTCCTTTCCCAGGTGAGCCTGTGAAACAAGCTGATGTTGTCCTGCTTGGGTTCCCGCTGATGCACCCCATGAGTCCCGAAGTCCGGAGGAATGACCTGGAGATGTATGAGCCGGTCACTGAGCTGGACGGGCCAGCCATGACCTGGGTAAGGAGCAGGGCAGAGCCTGAGGGGGGATCCATCCTCGGGTGGTTGTTTCCATCCGAGCCAGTCACTGCCAGCACCACCAGTGGCCACAGTTTGTCAGATCCGTGTTAAACACTGGGGGAGCGTGGATGGTGCAGAGCTGGAGATGTCTGGGCCAGAAGGGTGCCAGTTGTGGTGTCACTCTGAAGCCTTTGCTGCATTGTCACCCCTGGGGGAGGTGGCAGCTGGTGAGACACCATTTTTCTCTGCTGCAGAGCATGTTTGCAGTGGGCTGGCTGGAGCTAAAGGAGGTGCAAAGAGCCCAGACCCAGCTGAACAAGTGTTTCAGCAACATCACAGAGCCCTTCAAGGTCAGTGTGAGGTGTTGTGGGTGCTTCTCTGCAAATGCTTCTTGTGTCTATCTTGCCTGTTCCCAAGTAAGTCACATCATACCAGGAGACATCACTTGGACTGGAGCCTGCACTGGCTGTGCTTGTGGCCACCAGATTAGTGTAGGTTCAGCTGGGTGGCTGCACGCTCTGTCTCCTCCCTGCATGCTTCCAGAGAGCAAGGAGGAAGCATCTGCTTCCGACCAGGCGATGCAGAGCCACGGGGCGGTATCGTGCTCACCCCAGGCTTCCTTCTGCCTGCCAGGGATGGGAAAGGGAATGGAGATGGTGGCACTGGAGAGATGTGCCAGAGCCCACCCGCTGCCCCCTGCCAGGCTGGGCAGCAGAGCGTGGTCACTGCTGCACCCCAGACGTGTGGCAGTGATGATGAGGAATGTGTCCAAACCCCGGAGCTGCAGGGGTCCCAGTGCAGCTCCCCAGCCATTTCTTTCTCTTGCTGGAGCAGATCTGGGTGGAGAACTCGGACGGGACGGGAGCTGTGAACTTCTTGACAGGGATGGGTGGATTCTTGCAAGCCATCCTCTTTGGCTACACGGGGTTCAGGTGAGACCTACGCCACGTCACGTTTAGTTTCTGAGTAACTACACGTCACTCGAAGCCCTGCTGTTTAGCTGGAGCAATGTGGTTGTACTCATGAAAAAGAAAGGAACTTGCAACACCCAGAATATCATCCAAAACTCCTGAGAGGTGACGAACAAACAGGATCATTACTTATCCCAGATTAACAGTCGATACTGGTGGAGATATCAGAAGTAATAAGCTTTGGTCCATTTCTCCTCCAGCTACGGCAGTGTTGGGAGCCACTGGCTTCAAAAGGAATCAAAGCTAGGCCAATGCCCAGCTCTCCAGCACTCACCGAGCTCCTCAGTGACGTGGAACATCTCTGTGTGATCTCAGGGTTGGGGCTAGCCTGTCTCATTTTGGTGCCCGTGTCTCAGAAATGCATCCAGACTTCCCGCTCCATAGGTGGTTTGTAGCTTTGTTTTCTTCACCAGGGGTGGATGAAGTTTGAAGACTACAACCCACTGACTGCATTGGCCTCCTGGTTAACCAGTTGAGGAGAAAGTCTGTACCACCACCTTGCAGGCAAATACAAGACCACTTCTTACATATTGTGGCCTTTCTAAGGGGACCCTTAAAACGGGGACCCCAGTCCTCCACCACCACACTGAGCTGCCGTAGACCTACTCCCACTTTAAGACTGGAAAGTGATTTGGAACAGGCGAGAGACTCTCTCAGGTCACTTGATGAGTTAGTTGCATGTTTGGGAAGCTAAAGTCCTCTGGCTGAGCTGTAACATCATCAGATCTCGTTTGGCTGTGGTGTGGAAGGACCTTCTGCAGCCCCTCCAAAGCAATGATGTGCCGCCTGCACCCTGTGTCTCTGCAGGGCTCTGTGGGGGAAGGTGCTCGGCTGGCAGCACCACAGCTTTGTCATACCTTGGAAGAAATGTTAAACTCTTCATATAATTTCCAAGCCGTGTCTCATACCCAAAGCAGCCCAGTGGTTTCTACCCTGCACCAATAGTCTCTTGAGCATATTCTTAGTTTAATTGAGGATGATCAAACTCACAAGCCTTTTGATTTCCACCAAAACCTTTTAGCACTAAATATGTGTTTTCACTCTGCGTGTGTGGCCGGTAGCTGCTGAGAAACCCACTGGCTTCTTGGTGGAGCTGGGTGTGAGCTGCCCTGTTCCCAGCTGGAAACCTTAATCTCAGCTTTGGTGGAGCTCAAAGGTCTTCAGATGCTCCGAGTGTGTCAGGTTGGGCTCCTCTTGGCACAGGCTCAAGCCACAGGCTTTGGGGCTCCAGCCAAATTTCCACAGATGACATTTGTGCAGCTCTCAAGGCTGTGCTCGTGCCTTGCCCGTTGTGCCAGCCAGGGTCCGTGGCTGGTGTTGGCCTGGCACTGAGGCTCTCCAGGCTCTTGAGCCTGTCTCGAGTCCTCTCCAGGCTCTCGAGCCCTCTCAGCAGGCTGGAGATGGTGGTCAAGAGCTCTCACATTCCAAGATTTGAGTAGGAGATAACAGTGACCGTTGTCTTTTCTCATCCAAAGCCAAAACACACAAATGGCCCTGTCTTGGGTGAGGGCATGGAGAAAGGATTCAGGCTGTTTGCTTCATTTGTGTCTTTCAGAGAAGGAGCAAACAGCGGTGCTGAGTGTAAAGCCCCTCACACGGGTGGGAGGGGGAGCTCACGTGGGCTGCTGGAGCTCACCTTGCTGCCTGGCTTTGGTCACAGCTGGAGGGAAAGTGCCAAGTGCCCTGTGCAGGTGCAGCTCTGCTGAGATGGGGAATGACAGGAGAGGGGCAGTGCTGGTGGTCAGGAGTGTCTCAGAGCACCTCTGCCAGGCATGAGATGAGCTTCCACATCTCCTCACCAGCATCCTGTAGCTTTTGGAGCAACAGTGGGTGAGACCAGACACTTGCTGCTTGGTATTTTGGCTGAAGCTGAACTTGTATCCTAAAAACCCCAGCAGCAGCTCTCTCCTGAGCTCCTCACATGGTTTGTGTACAGTACGTGGCCAGGAGCCTGTGCCTGTAGGTTCACATGACAGGATTCCAATGGCAAGTCCTGCGTGGGGCCCATGGCCACCTCTGCTTGTTCCTGTGCCCCATTCCCCTCCCCATGCTGGAGCAGGGCATTACCAGTTTTGCCAGCAGAGCTGCTGCCAGCAGCCTCTGAACTGGAGTGGGCAACCCTGCTGCCTTGGGAGAAAAGAAATACTTTCTCATTTTTATCTAAAAAAAATCCAACCTGATGGAAACCACAGATCCCAGCTGAGGAACTGGAAGGGGAGCAGGAGCACCCTAGGGTGCTGGGCTATGTGCTTCATTGGTGTGTTTGGGATTTGTGTGGACATCCTTGGGATGCACCAAGGGCTCTTTCTGCCCAGAGGTGCAGGGAGCAACGGGAGGGGCCTCAGGGATGTGTGAGGCTCTGCTGGCTGGGGAGGTGGCCGACCCCACAAAGCTGTCTTCCTGTGTGGCCACCCTTTGTTCCCACTGCTGACATGCTCCTGCCTTTCCAGGATCACGAGGTCCAGGCTGCTCTTCAACCCTGCCTTTCCTGATGACATCCACAAGCTGCAAGTCGCTGGCGTCTCCTACCTCGGCAACAAACTGAAGTTCACCATCACCAAAGAAGAGATCAGGATGGAGGTGACCGAGCGCCCCCGGGAGCCCCCGGCGCCTGCCCTGGAAGCTGTGCTGGAGGAGTCGGGGCAGCGCTTTCCCCTGCGTGAGGGTAGGGGCTCCTTGCCTGGGTCTGCCTAAAACCACGGCGAGCTGGGGAGGAACCACTCCTGTATCTCCCGGGGCTGGTGCTTGTTGCAGGGCAGAGCATCTGCGTGCCCACGGCAGCCGGCCGGGTTTACAGGGAAACCCCCGGCTGATGGAGTTTTACCCACTGAAGCGGGAGGCACAAGCTGAAGAGTGAAGGGGGAAGGTAGAGGTGAGGGGGAAGGTGGGGTCCCAGGCTGTGCCATAGCCCCGTTGTCCCCGTGGCTGTGTGTGCTGAGGGTCTCTGTGGCCCCGGGGAGGGCTGGTGGGCTCACAGCTCTCACCACGGCTGGCTGGCAGCAGCTCCGAGCCACACTGAGCATCCCTGTCTGAGCCCCCCAAGTCCCCTCCACACACCTTCAGCAGCTCTCACTTAGGAGAGGACACGAAGTCAAGGCTGAAAGTGATGATTTTAAGTGAGTTTTCTAAACACCCAGGACCTGTTGATGCTTTCACCACCTGCGTTTACAAGGAAGCCCCAGCTGAACAGACCCGTGTTTAGTCCAACATGTACCTGCACCCACCCCCAGCTCCTTTGGCACATCTGGGCTTGGTCCTCGCCTTCTCCTGGCTGCCTGCATCACTCCGAGGGCTCAAAGGTCTGGGGGGCTTCACCCCATCTCTCCCCCCTGCCAGCTTCCCTGAGCACCGGTGGACCCCTCGGCTCCTGCTCCCCCCGTGACGAGGGGCTCTGCGCAGGCAGCGAGCGTGGATGGAAGGAAGGCTGGAGCTGAGCCTTAGTTTGGCACTAATTAGTCACAAAAGAGACAGCCAAAAGCATTTTAGCCCTGTTTGGGCAGGACACGGGTCCTGTTTTAGTTATTCGCTGTATAATATTCCTATCATGTGTTTAACCCCTTGCCTACATTCTCATCTGTTTTCAAGCAGTTTTGGGTTAAAGCCCTTCTAGTGTAACGTTAGAAGGGCTGCAGGAAGTCCAGGCACCAGTTATCACTTGGTCAGATGAGGACAAGTTTTCCTGGGCTCTGAGCAGAGTCTCCTCCAGGAGCAGCCTCGGCACAAGCTCTGTATTTGCTTCAGGCATCCTCGGTGTCCTAGAAGGCCCCGAGGGAGGGAAGGGGAAGGGCTGTGCCTACGTCTAACTGGGGCACGATATGCCCCAGCACCCAGCTCTGCACCCTGCAGCGCCCTCCCCGGCTGCACCCCCTTCCCGGGGTGGGTCCGGTGCCCCGTCCCTGCCCTCGCCGGCGCAGCCGTGGGTCGCAGCGGGGCTGTCGGGGCCGTTCCCTGCCCTGCCGGGGCCGGGCCTCTCCAAAAACCCCAGGAATCTTGGCTGGACCTCATGCAGTTTATAAAAAGCCCCGGGCAGCATGTGGGAACGCTTAGGGCAGGAGGCAAAGTG